AATCCGCTTTTCGTGGATGGACGAGGGCCCTGACTGAACTGCTAGCTAAAGGCAGCCCGAGTTTCAAATGCAATTGAAACTCGGGCCCTGACTAAACAAACTGCTAAAACGCAGTTTCGAATGTAATTACAAACAGCTTTCGTGACTGCACCGTAGTTACCCCTAAATTTAAACGTAGAATCAGTATAAGTTCATCATCATCATCATCATCAGTATCATCATATGAGGGACGCTGAGCCCAGTTCTCAGCATGTTCGGTTCGGTCACTCCGGGTAGACTGTGCCTCAATATTCTTATTGGTAATATCAGCCTTGGGCACTGGGCCCTTTATTTAAAAAAAAAAAAAAAAAAAAAAAAAAATTAAACGTAGGATATCAATTCCACTTTGAGAACACCCTTTGAATTTAAAACTTGGTAATCATTCATTGGGATGAGAGCAAAACTCGGATTTACCAATTTCAGATTGGGAATCTTGCTCAGAAATTACGAATTTTAGAATAGGGATCTGACTCAGCAAATACGAATTTCAAATTAGGAATCTTGCTCAGAAAAAAATTCCGGATCAATAGAGTACAGCTAAAAAGACCTAGGATCACATGAATCAGACTCTACTTATTAACACATCACAATCATAAAGGCGAAATAGTTAAAAAAACAACCTCTGAAAACCTATCAGAAAAAACAACACAATATCTCAAGAGGAAAAAATCATGACAAATCAAGGAACGAAGAGTGATACACAAAGGACACAGCCCCAATCACAGATAAAAACAGAGATGTGGCAGCAACCTCATGCGTTGTCACCAAAGGTTGATTCAAAAGTCAATAAACAACTGCAGCCTCTGGCGATGTCCGCATCTCAAAATCCCGTGATGTCAACAGCTGCAGATGAAACAATCACCTACCGCCACTTTCGTGCTGAACAGACCGAGCAAAAGAGCCCCCTCCTCCATTTTACATCAATCGCGTTGCCCCGCTGGGCCGCTGTCACTCAAAAACCGCAAAAACCTTCGTCGCCCAAACTCACCCCCTCCGTCTTCGTGGGAGGAAAGCAAACACCCCCCTCCCCCTGCTAGCCATAACCGCCTCGCCAACATGCGAAGCCCTTTCACCAGCGAACGAAGCACTAACCAGGCACCAACCCGCCAAGCAGGAGATGCTATGGTCCAACCTCGTTGAGCCCGCCGACAAGTGCCATAGGAAGTGCAAGCTACCAAAAAACGCCACAGAGCGACCGTTGGGGCAAAAAAAGGACAGGGGAAGGAAGGGGCCGTGTCCATCCTGCTTGCCACGCGCCTCCTCAGCATTCATCTCACCACCACCATCTCCACAGTTCACCTTCTCCCAAGGAGCATCTGCCATGCCCAACCGAACACCGCCACCCCACCTTCACCTTGCTTTCCAGACGCCAGCAAAACAGGCCGGCGGCGCGGCGCTCCCGGTCGCGCCGCGCCGCTCACCCCTCCCGATAACACTATGTCGTGATTGTTTTCCTACCGATTGCTTACTTATGTCTCAAAGAATTCCGCTCATTCCTTTCTTTTTGACGTCTGTGGGAGGGCACTTGTTTACTCAACATGGCCAGTGAATGCACAGGGCCAGAAAAACGGTCCACGTTCATAACACGGCAAAGAGCCATCCCAGTCTCCGACATCATGTACAACGCAGGGACTTTCACTGCAACCGTCCGGGCCCTTGTTCTTGTGCAATTGTCATTACACAACCCAGGAAATCCCACCAGTTGCCCTCTTTGCGAAGGGCCTCTGTGTCCCTGGGGTTGGAGGAGGGATGCATATGCTTGCTTTTTTTTTTTTTTTTTTTTTTTAACCTCTTGTCAAATGCTGGCCTTTGCACAAGAGAAAAAAACAAAACAACAAGAGAATAACAAATCATTTCAGCAAATCTCGCTTCCGGTCCCCCTCTTTTTTTTTCGTTGCAGGGGGAGGGGAGGGGCGGGTCTAACCGGATGCAAAAGTCCAAGCCTCCAAGTTAGAGTTGGACCCCACTGCCTGGCGGAAGCTTTGCTTTCCAGGCGGAAAGCTTCCGCCAAACCCAAATCGTAGGCCCCGGTGATTGGAAACAGAAAAGCTTACCCCACTGTAGCACGAATTTTCGGCAGTTCTGTCGTTGATGGTTACCCAATAGGGAAAACTTTCCCCATACAGAAACTTCACATCCCCTTGTCTCGGTGCCCGTCCAATCCCTGGCTCTCTGTTCCACATGCTATGCGCAAACCTACGGGGGTGCTCCCCCCCTGCCCCCTCAGGATGACCGAACCGCAAGGAACGGGCAAAACCAAACTGAGTGGAAATGCTTGCCACATTACTTGTCAGCGTTTTCCGAAGCTTTGCCACAAAGCAGTGGGGTCTCACTGTGACAAATAGTCTTGAAAGTCTTCCAAAGCTTCGCCGCAAATCAGTGGGGTCCACCTCTTAGTCTAAGAGGTCATGGCCATCACGGGTCAATAGCTTACTGGCCCTGACTGAAATCTGCAGGGGGTGGTTGACTGGATTTACTTGCGTTATTTGTTTTGTTTCTTCTTGTGTTTTTACTCTCACTCAGTTTGTTTTTCCTTTATCAGAAGCCATGCTGCTAATCTTCTCTGTATCCTTGCCGGATGTCCCGAATCTCCGATATTGGGCCTGAAGAAGACTGCATGAACCTGGCGTCCGAAGTTCGGTACGGCAAGGTTCGTCCCCTTTGGCTTCCACAGGGCTGGAAGGCTGCCCAGGCTTGGTCCTTGTCGCTGCTGTCTGGTCCAAGTTGCCATAGATACTGGTAGGGTGATGGTCCTGGGCACTGGTCACACTGAGGTAGGATAGTAGGGACAGGGGGACCGGCGCGCTGGGAGTGGTAGTGTGGGGAAGGGTAGGGAAGGTGGCCTATCCTGTCAGTACAACCATCGGCTGCGGCTGCCAGCGATCACCGTGGGTCTAGTCCTTGGACCTTGGCCTCTACAACACCCTGGGCTTCAAAAAAAGAGAAAAGAAGAAGAAAAGAAAATGGACGTCCCGAAGGGCTTAGTAAATCTTGCAGTTGTTGTTGTCTTCTTATGGCTGTTTCTGACAAATATCTTGCCAATTCTATGGGTGGAACTGATATGTGCAGGCTGAGAGAGAGAGGGAGAGAGTTCTCTCTGGACCAGGAGGTTGAGGCAGGCAGGTGCAGGAAGCCGGTGTTGCCCCTGTATTTGGGTCACTTCTCTGTCATACAGACCATATACTTTTAACACGGAGTGCTTAAGCATATTAAACGGCTTTTGGCAAAGGGTCTGATCCCACCAGTCAGGGACTGTCTGGCTTGTTTGGCTTCTAGACCAGGAGTGGCGAGCAACCCACGTGCTGTTAAGTTTTAACAGTTACTGTACCGTCTTCACGCAAATAGAAGGCCCCGTCATTATACATCTGTTTTCTTTTGGGCCACTTCTCTGGGTTAAGAAACAGCAATATCAGGCGCACGGCTGGCCCAGCGCCTGGTCCAGAAGTTGGAGGACCATCTGCACCTGAGACCAGGTGCTCCATTGGGGTGACACTGATGACCGTAGTGCTGTTGAAACCAGGTCTCAGGTCCCACTCGATAGGTCGATTCACTGGATGGCCGTGTGCATTTCAAACTCTGTCAATTACTTAATGAAAAACACAGGACTTTGTCTGATTCTCTGACTGGAGGAGCTGCAGTCGCTCCAGTGGTGTTGATATCAGAGATTGCAACAGGTTACCGAGTTGCAGGAAGTGTGGTTTTCAGGATCAAGAGCTTCCGTCCGGTCAGTATCGTAGCTGGGTTTGGAGCAAGTCCAGAATCCAGATGCAACGATAAATTCGATAATGACTAGGCATTCTATGTGTAGGTGAAGATGGTAGTATCAAAATTTGTTGTAAATTTGCCGCACATCCTCAGAGGGAGGACCTATGGGCGGCGTTTAACAAGCAAAGAGAAAGCGTACGAAGTTGTGTAACAGTCGCCAATGGACACGTGACTGGAAAGTGTGTGTGTGTGTGTGTGTGTGTGTGTGTG